CCCGGTGCTGATAAAGAGTGAGGCTTAGGGACCAGGAGGGAGAGGAGAGGATAGATTCGTGAACTCAATGAGGGGAAACTGCAGAGATCCCTGCTTTCCTGTGAAGTGAGGAGGCTGGGGACAGTTTGAGAAGGGAGGAGACAGCATTGAGTAGCCCTTCTGGGAAACCAGAAGAGACCTGGCCAGGAAAGCACCAATGGTGAGGTCCAGGGTGGCATGGAAGTGAGCTGATGGTGGCACGGAGCTGTGGAGTCCCACGCTTTTCCCTGGAAGGAAGCCCCTCATCTAGGCGTCCCGGATGCCTTTGCTTGGTGGTGGTCTAGGGGACTCTGCAAAGCCACCAGCACCTTACTTAAATGCATCGAAAACCAAACTGAGGACCCAGGCCTCCGTCCCAGTCCCATTGCCTCCCGGTTTCTCTTCCTGAACTGGGGATCTGGGATTCAGCCTCCCCAGGAGCACATTGTCACCCAACCCCACGGCTACGACTCAAGGCTGTTGCCAGGGTCTCCTCTTCTGCTCCTTCCCCACCTGTCCTACATTCGGCCTCCCTCAGTCTTCTATGCGTGACTGCAGCTGTCTCGCCTCCTCTATCCTAGTTTGGTTCCTGTTGCCATGATAACTGCCATGACCAAAAGCAACTTAGGAAGGAAAGAGTTGGTTTTGCTTACTCTTCCATCTCACAGCCCACTGTTGAGGAAAGCTAAGGCAGAAATGAGGCAGGGACCACGAGTGCATCTCCGTGTGGTTTGCTCAGCTTGCTTTCTTTTATAACCCTAGGACCACCTGGCCAGGTGTGGCACCACCCCCAGTGAGCTCGGCCCTTCCCCCCACATTCATCAGAAATCAAGAAAATGCCACGCAGGCGTGCTTATAGGCCACGTTGATGGTCAGTTCTTTAATTGAGGCACACTCTTCCCAGGTGACTCTAGTTTGTGTCAAATTGACAAAAACCCTAACCAGCACACCCACTCATAGTCAGCTGCCATCTTCAAAGCTAAATACCTAGAAATTAAGTCTAATTTCCACTTACTTTCGGGGGTTTCAGTTTAAATAACACTGGTTCTGGGATGTGACCCTAACCATTCCCCAGATTTAGGAAAGTCCCCAGGGGTACCTGAACCCATGACACCTTCTGCCTCTTCTCTGGTTTAGTGAACTTGTAATTTCTTGTACCCCTACCCCTTGAAGGCACAGGCAGAGGACTCCCTGATGTATATACTACAGACACTCGCTACATGACAGACGCCTGCCATTCAAAGCCCTCAAGATCACAGCTAAAACTTCTATCTTCCCTTAAATCAGCAAACGCCGGTGACAGTCAGTCACCCTGGCCTTTTTCCTCCATGTCTTTTGCTCAGCCGTTTCTGGCTTCTAGGCAGGCTTGCTCTCTGCTCCATCTAACAGTGATTGTCCCGTTTACCTTTGTCCCAGCCCTGTCATCCATTGTGTCCTCTCTGTACCCTCCCCCACCTGCCACAGGTCACGTTCCCTGTCCCACTGTAACTCCCCTGAGGGCAACTTCTAGTTTTCCTGTGAAAACACTTAACTACAAAAGAGAGATACTGTGTATAAAACATGTACTAATAGGGTCTTATCCATCTGGATCTCAAAGTGTCCACTTTGTGGTATTGGGGGTCACCAAGAAAGGACACAAGAATACTTTTGAGTGGATGGGAGAATTTTTTCTCCTTTATAACTGTCAGAACAGATGTGCACCCTCTTGTTGGCATGCTAATTTTTAAAACACGGCCCTCTTAGGTTTACATGAAGAGGCATATGTTCTCGTCAGTGAATAACGACCATGGTTACCAGTTTGTTCCATCTTTATTTGGGAAACGAATGCTTGCTTTGTACACTGGATGAAGGTGGTGATTGTGTTTACCAGAGTGTTAGGCAGGCTACTGCGTAAGGGCAAAGGAATTCCTCCCGGAGCTGGTATTTTCCAACACGTTCAGCAACAGTTGTCTCCTGGGCTGAATGAGATGATGTATGTAAAGGTATAATGGGAAGGTATGAGGCCAAAGGAAGGAGGGTTCTGTGTCTATAAATAATAAACCAATAGTTATTTTAGTTTATTTGTAACATGCTGGTTTTTTTCCCCCCAGTTTGGAAAAATGGAATTGCAGGAATCCTCAGAAATGTTACCTAAAAATAAACCAGAGAGACAGACAGCAAGCCGGGATGGGGGAGGGAAGTGCCTGCTTAATAAACCAGGTTTATTTCATGGTGATGAGAATGCTTTGAAACAAGGTAAGAGCAGTGGTTGCCCCATAATGTAGAGACACAAGTGCCATGGAACTGTTCATTTCAAAATGGGTAGTTTCATGTTAAATGAATTGAAACTTAATACAAAAAAAGTACTTAGTGCCTAATAACACATTCCAAATAGACAAGGCTGGGCTATTCCAGGAATGCACAGGATCTACAGTTCCCACTGTGACGTGGACTCTGCTCTTGTGAACGGAATGAAGCTTTGTGTGCAGGGTCATGTCCTCATGATGTTCATGAGAGTGAACACAACTGCTAGCTAGCATAGCTTGGTTTCCTCCTCTGGCTTTCACAAAGACTTTTAAGATGCTTAATTTGGGTCAGAGTCTTCTTTTCTAGAGGTGGAGCCTGAAGCATTCCCCCCCCCTCAAATAAGTAGAATTTTCCAGAAATGTGACTGTGCTAAGTTTTGAAATGGCCTCTGTCCACCAGGGAGGGCCCTTCTGGAGAGGGAGGAAAAGCCCTGCATACTAGGCAGCCATAGCAATTTCTCGAGCCTCTAGGTAGGTCTGATGACAAAGAAAGCCGAGCAGATGAGTATTAGCAGCTCATCACTCCTTGTGCCATGGCCCCTTGTCGTCTCACCAGGAAGGGACAGAATTGCCTATCTTCAATGGCAGGGGAAGATTACAGAGCCACAACTTGGACCCTGGTGTGCATAGCCCTGAGGCTGTCGCTTCTCTTATATAGCAGTACTGTGGGCTTTGGTGGGGCCTAATGAGAAGCAAGGATAGAGCTATCACAGACAAGTATCCTATCCATCCTTTAAACACCTACAGCCTCATGGGAGAACGCACCCTTCAATTCAGGCATGGTATTTGGGGCCAGGGCCCAATGGCTGTACTGTAATCAAGTTGCATCAGTCAACTTTATAAAACCAGTCTGTGGGATTTAACGACTTGATTTCTTCCTGATTCAAGCACTTCCTTTTCAAAGGCCTTCAAATACGTGGTCTCATGGCTCAAATGGCTGGAAACTGTCAACTCCTGGAGATAGTTTATACCTTATACACTGGAGATCTACTTAACAAAGAAAGCCTAGAAACAAAGCTGTCTCCATCAGTGGAACTCTAGTTTCAGCATAAAGGATTATCTCTCAATCCCTTCACCAAAGCATCCCTTCTGAGGTTGGCTCCTGTTGAACCCTTTGTAAGTCTAAATGCTGTCTACCTTTCAATGTTAAAGGTCTGTGTTGGAAACAGAATAACAGTCAAGTTGTAAGAGTGGTTTGAACCAATTCAATGAAGAATTACATAAGATGACTCCAAAAATCCCCTAGTAGATGCTCTTAGATTTGAGAACCCAGTGGGACCACCCCAGTTCTTTCTTCCCTCCCTCCCTTCCTCCCTTCCTTCCTTCCTTCCTTCCTTCCTTTCCTTGCTTTCTTTCTTTTTCCAATAAAAGCCTGAATGCCTGTCTGGGTGTTAAAATATTTATAGTTGTAGAAAGCAGCATATATGACTCCATCTAATAAGTGCCTGTCAATCATCAACTTCTCTAATTGCCATATGGGTAAAGAGGTGGGGCCTGTGACGTGTTACTGGAAGATGGAGACTGTACGGAGGGATGAGGGAGGCAAGCTCAGAAAGATCACTGCAGTGCCTCTCTGTGGATAGTGTCTTCCTCATAGCCTCGAGACCTCTGGGCAGCTGTTTCCTTCCTACTTAACCCCACAAGGAAGCATGAGTTACTCAAGAAAGTACAGGTATCATTGAAACACCCCAGGCTCTGTCTAAATTTGTTTCCCTGACCATTCAGGCCAAAGAGGTCACAATGAGGCCCCATAGTGAGACTTCTTGGCAGCCTTGTTCCTCTACACCATGGGCCCATTGCACAGGAAGTGGAGGGGCTGATGTTGTCTTGTCTAAGGCCTCCTATGTAGGTATTTCTCCCTGACCATCATTGCCCCTCCACCTCCACAGGAAGGAAACTGAGGCTGAGAGAGAGGTTCCATGGCTTTCTCCATCAGTTACTTAGAGGCAAGCATAGGATTCAGGGTGCCTCTGACTGCAAGTTCAGATCTCCTGGGTCTGAGGATGAGGCCTGCATGCTGAGATTGCCTGAGGCCCACCAAGGCAAATGGCATCATTTTTAGGGCTATTTTACTAATAAACAGTGACTATCCCATTGTCATGCACTTAGGCCTTAACTAATGATGGGTTTGCCTCCGGGACTACTGAGATGGGGAGGAAGGAACACATTGGAAGATGCTCTTTGGTCACTTGGGTTTCCTAGTCTACAGAACAACAAGGCTGCACAGTCACTGCTGCACACTCCATACTTGACAACCTGGGACTTTGCAAAGAAGTCCAGAAATGCTACACTCCATGTGTTTGCATGTCTTGTTTTCTAGGGCTTCTTTCTGCCTTCAGTCGGTCTGACCATGACAATCTTAGAATACATTTCATTGATCCTTTCAAGATTTTGAGCTTCCAGAGTGAACCTGTTCCAATAAAATACCCCAAGCTTTTGCTGGATCACATGTTGGCCGGAATTGGCAGCTGGCTGAGTACCGGGCCCTGACACAGGATGGGACGAGGTGGGGATAAGATCAGAAAGGCAAAGATGGGAAGGGGCAGGAGGTACTCTCCCTGCAGCTCAAGGTTGAGGTGAGGCCCTCCCCCACAACTTCATTCAAGAGGGGCCAAAGGCAGAGAGGAATAGAAGAAAAATGGAAGTGAAAGGACAAATGGGGAAGATGGAAAAAATAAAAGCAACCACCACAGGCTCTTTGATCTTAATTCATTTTATTCTACAAAATGCTACTCAATGGAAAGTGGGAAAGCTAACAACAACAACAAAAACATAAAACAAAAATAAACCCCAAGGGAAAATAAGTTTTAATATGTTCTTTTCTCCATAGCAGCAAGCTTCTCCCAACAAGCTTTTCTTAGTGCAAACACTGTAGGCTTGTGTCACGTACAGTACACAGAACAACACAACACACACCACCAGAGATGCTTCCGAGCAGGGATACTCCTCAATTTTAAAAACTGTACAAAGAGTTTTGAGCATATGGTCCTGCCAGGAGAGTTCGACTAGAGAGGCCCTCCAATAGGGCCATTTCACCATCACTTTAAAAATAGGGGACAAAAGGTGCCCAGAAAGGTCATTAAAATTCCCCACAGAGCCATAAAACCTTGTACAACTCATTTGCCTCCAGGGTCTTAATAGCAGATTTCACTTCACGTCATTGACACATCCCAAATACAGATGCACGAAGCTTGAGTTTCCACTATACACCCAAATACGATATATACACCTCCCACTGCAAAAGACACCCTGATACCTAGTCTTTATACAAAGTTGAATATTTTCTCCCTCAAAATCAAGTAACCACGAAGTAAAATAAATGGAATATTTTTTTAATCATACAGAGAAAGTTAAGTTTTGAGAGACAGGGCCAGGGTCTTTTTCATTGTGTTCTCTTACAACGTAGATTTCTTAGCAGCCACTGTCCCCAGAGGAATGACAATCAATCTTTAAAAACAGAACCTTTTAATACAGTTTATACAGCACAAGTCCACAAGTCACTTTAGAAACAAATAAACAAAATAGAGCATCATTATCCTAAGTTAGAAAAGGGGGGCGTGGGGGAAGGTACTTTAATGCTATCTGTTTCTATTCAGGCTTGAAACAACACAAAGAAGATGTAAACATTTAAAATAAATAATAAAATAAATGTCATTTTCTTCTCCCCTTTCCCTTCCCATACCCTCTGTCAAAATTTGACCCAGTTCCTCCTGAACACATTAGTACTGGATCATCACCAGCATTTGGTGAGGTGTGGCCAGGCCAAAACACTAGAAGCACGAGAAGACGAGAAGACACCAACTTAGCAGTGGGATGATTGGTTCCCTTCTTTAAAAAAAAAAAAAAAAAAAAAAAAAAAAAAAAAAAAAAAAAGCTGCAGGAGGATACAAGTACACACACATGCTCACACTCGTGGGAATCCGAATGTGAACACACACAACACACACTCACACGCCCCTGTTAATAAATAGTGAGATGCTGGCTTGAAGACAAATGCCACAATGACTCAAGCAGAATGCAGCAAGACCCCGTTACCTACATTTAAAAAAAGAAAGTCAAACACACTACATATCCTATTGGTCCACAAATTCTATGAGAACTCAGGTTGCCTGTGAGGAGAGCACAGGCCGGGTTCGAGGAGCCCGAGGGGGAGGAGCCTGGGGTGGGCAGATGCTGCAAGGGGGATGAGTCGATGAGGACCACCAGACTAAAGGCACTCCCACCTGGGGTCTTTGAAGAAAGCCCTCTCATCTCCAAGTGTTTTTGTTTAACCATTACTTGGGACCTTTGAGAAGGGGATGAACCCTTAGTTCCATCTTAAAAGAGGATTAATATTAAAGTGCCTCATAGTGCCTGGCACATAGTAGGTGCTTATTACATTCCTCCCTAAAGAGGCCACATGGATATCTAACCAGGGAAGGAAGTCACTGTGAACGACAAATGGTGACATCTCAAGAACACTTTTGCTGTCTCTGGAAAATGGGGAGAAACGAATTCAGACCCTTCACATGGCCTATCTGCCTTCCACACTTGGAGTCAAGTGCAAGCAGACTTGGGTTCTCTCCCCCAAAGCCTGAGGAAGTGCCAGGCTCTGCTTACTGTTAGCTTTGAAACGCTCCCATGACTGGCCAACATGGGCACACGCATCCTGTGACAACAGCAGTTTGACTTCCGAAAAAAATCTCCCCCAGAAAAACCATCTGCTTGGCATTATCTCCCCTCACCTGGGCTCTCCTCTCTTTCCTGTGCCACAACTGTCCCTAGCTAGCTAGTCAGATGGAGGACTGTCCTCACAGAGACTGGGAGGCCATGAGGACTGTGTTCCATACTAGCTGATTAAGGAGTACCTGTCCTATGCCAACCCAGAGCTGCTCACAGTCCAGCCAAAGCCCACGCCAGCTGAGGACACACATAGGGAGACAGGAACCTTGTCTGAGAACAGCCCTCCCCCCCTTCCACTGCAGCTGTTCCCTGAACTGTGGGCAGGACGTCAAGCCAGGTGCCTGACCTGGAGCACAGGCATATGTGTGAGTGACATGTAGGTAAATGAACTTGGACAGCAAGCCAAAAGGAAGCCAACTGAGGCTATACCCACAGTTTAGGTGTGAATATCCAGCTTTCCCCCCAGAAACTTCTGCCTTTGGAAAAGCCATGAGATCTTGTAGGCGAAAGCAAGCAGCTCAGAAGGGAAAATGACCTCAGAGACTTCTGAGGCTCAGGTTAGCTGGCTGTGCCTTCTATCACTGATGCCAACACAGCTTGAAATCTGAACCGAGAGCCAGACTTGGGGGTCTCAGGAGTGTCCAACTGGGGCACCAAATCACAGGCCTGTGACCTGTGTTGGGATCCATGCTGTGGAGATTGGGGCAGGAAGGGCCTTTGGGAAATAACAGAATAAAAGCAGCTTCGTTTCAGAAATACCCATGGGCACCAGGAGGGAAAGAGCTCCACTTGGCTTGAGATGATAAATGCTTAACTGAGTTCACCCAGTTCACCCCTGGGTATTTGCCTAACTTCAGCTACTCCTAGCTGTCTTCTGTTTCTAGGGGGACTCTGAGGCCAGGAAGCCACCTGCTCAGTCTCCTCAGGAGCACCCCACTCAGAGGCTCTGGGAGACCAGGATGGCAAAGTTAGAGCCAGGGCATAGGGAACGAGTATATGGAAATTATTCTGAACAAAAGTCCTTTCTCCTCCCCTCTCCCTCTCTACCTAGCCAAACCCTGCCCCCCACCCCCTATCACTTTCAGTTCTGCTGGGCTGGGCAAACTTTCCACATGGCTCCTGGATCCTGTGTATTGTGCATGCATGTCAGTGGATCATGGGATTAAATTGTGGCTGGCACAAGTGAACTTGGGCTGAGAAAAGCACAGGTCTGTGAAGCTGTCCCTTCCCTCTCAAAATTCAGATTTTCACCACTGGGCTTGGTTCAAATAACAGGGTTTTAGAATCTCTGGAGTGGAAACATTAAAGCAGATCATTAGCACTAGGGACCAGTTCTGACCCGACACCACTTCCCACACTTGGGTCAGCATGCGGCGGGGAGAGAGGGATGGGATGCAGGAGCAGGAGTATGCCCTTGGGGAGGCCAGGATACCTGTGAGAAGGATTCAGCAGTGGAAAGGATCCCATACTTTGATAGGAATGGCACAGATACCCCAAGCCCTAGCACGACTGGCTGAGACCAATGACTCCCAACTGGCCTGCTGGTCAGAAGGTCACTCTGGAGTGGGCCACCAAAGTATCAAAGGAAACGAATCCATTCATCAACGGCAGAGACCACTGAGGGAGGTGGGGTAGGAGTCCTGCACCTCACTAATAGGAGAGCAGCCAGGAAAGGCTAGGTACCCGGGGCTGATGCTGCGGCCAAAAACATTCCTAGCACAGTCCGACATCTCCCCAGCTCTTCCACCTGAGGTCTGAAGAGAAACCATTAGTTCAAATTGGGAGAGGGGCCAGGCCCACACTCATTAAATATCTATGGGCACTGTCACCCTGAGAGTCAGGGAAGGGCAGAACGCAGCAGGGCTTCGGAGTGCTGTGTGGTTCCTAGGAAGGTGCACCTCCCTGGTCTGGAGAGAAGGGTCCAGGGGCAGAATTGTGAGGCAGTAATTACAAGAGAGGTTCTGCTCGAGCCATTAGGTGAAGGAGGATCACTGGGACAGTCACGTGGCTTTGTTGGCACTAATCCTGGCTTGGTAATTTGGCATTTGGCAAACCCAACCTGTGCCCTGGTTGTTGCACTTACACCCTGTCTTCCGGCCAAGCTGATCTTCGAAGAGATGAACATCTCCAAGGCTGGGGAGGAAAGGTCCTTGGTGTACCCCAACGGTGACAGCCTCGCCTGTAGAACTCAGGGAGCCGGCTGGTAGTCTGGGATGGCAGTGCGCTGGGGTGTGTGGGAGGGAAGGTTCAATAATATTGCACTTTGACTGCCCCTTCGGGACATATCCGCCCCAGGAGAAGAGTCACCTGCTCCCCCAGCATTTTAATAGCGGGACCACCCAGATGAAATGTCATGGCAAATCTCATAAAAACCCAGAGGGAGTAAAACTGAGATTGCGGGAAGGAGGGGGAAACCAAAAGGCACTGAGCATGCGTGGTGGGGCAGGAAAGGACACCATCACTCCAGAGACAACAGCGTAACAAAGGGACAGGAACCATCCGGGCCAGCTCTAGGCGCTTCAGAAGCAGGAGAGACGTCTGAGTCCACCAAAACCAAGTTCTCCTCGGCTTGCAAGATGAAGGAGGGAAGGGGGTCCCGGGGCTTTCAAGACATCAACCAGTACCTCACCGCTAAGTCCCACTGGGTCCCCAGAGCCAAGCCCCCCCCCCCCCTTTTCCCTCATGGCCCTGGAGTGCTAAAGGTACTGGTCCCCGGGAAGGGTGATAATGCTGATGACTCCTCCAGAGCTGGCCAGAGGAGCACAGGGTTACAGGGCCAGCAGTGTGGGGGAGTTCAAGGAGTCTGACGACTGGTCCCCACTGCTACTGCTTCTGCGGTGAGCCTTGGAACAGGACTCTGAGGGTGATGCAGGCGACTCCTGCTCCAGGACATTGGGGTAGGTGAAGACAAGGTTTGAAGTGCCTGGAGTGATGGCAGGTGTGGAGGTCACCACGATGGGGGTATGCAGAGGCTCTTCCCCATAGAAACCACCCCCAGCAATGCTGATGGGTTTGATGACAGAGCGCTGGGTCTTGTCCATCCCTACCACTGAGGAAGAGGGGCTGTCCTCTTCGAGAGGCTCTTGCTTCACCACCACAGCGCCTGTACCACGTATGGGCTGCAGCCCGGCGGTCGGGGGCGATCGGCGCTCCTCGGGGCTGATTTTGCACACAGGGCCATGGGCTACCAACATGAACTCAAGCTTTTCCTTCTCCTTCTGCAATTCAGCGATCTCTTTCTGAAGACCAGACTTCTCCTCCTCCAGTTCCTCTGTCTCCTATGAGGGGCAAAGAAAGGTGTGAGGGGCAGAAGCCCACAGTCCAAACATGAAAGGGAGATCTACAGTGTCCTCAGGTGGCCTCGCACAGGCGTCTCCCACACCTGTCCAGAGAGCTAACTGGATATGAGTCACATGGTGGCTCCCAGTCCCTTTTACTCCTGAAGGAGGGAAGTTGGCTTGTGGGGCAGGTGAATTAACTGGGCTGCTGTAATTGAGTCCTTACTTCACAGGTTATCTCACTCAACCCTCCAGAAGTTTCTGAAAGCAGATGTTATCATCAACCCATTTTGAAGATGAGGAAACCAAGGTTCTGAGAAGTTTGCCCATCTGCCCAAAGTTACAGAGCTAACGGAGAGGCCAGATTTGAATTCCAATGCATCTGACTGGAGTCTGTATGCTGCTACACTCCACCCCCATGATGCCAGTACCACCATTGGGTCCCCCAACAGGTTAGAGTGGGATACTCATAGAGAAGGGGAAACTCTGCTCACTCTACCATTTCAGCCCGCCAGGGGACACAGATGCTGAGCTGGATGCTGAATGAGAGCAGACTCCCACGCATAAACTCCTACCCTAAGCACTGGACCGAAAAGTGCCTGGCTTGTGATAAATGCTCAGCTGATCACTGATGGATCCTCCCTTTCTTATTCTGGTTTCTAAAGCCCACATGCCTAGACCAGAGACAGCAAGGGACACATTTAGTTCCACTGTGCCCAATAGAGGGGCACCTGACAGCCCATAAGAGCCTATGAGGATGCCAAGCTCACCAGGGAAGCCTCCACTCCCCTCCTTCACACAGAGCCAGAGCAGTCTGTGGATTGGAATGGCTGGGGAAAAGAGAGGCATGCGTCACCAGTCTCCTCCCCACTTTTTCTCTAACACAGATTCCCATTCACAAATGAAGAGATACGGGCAAGAGCTTCATTAAGCACACTATGGTATATGCCGGCGTGAAAAAAAAAAAAAAAGTTTCCATCTGTCTCAAGGGTCTGACGAACGTCAGAGGCTTCCTGTGAGGATGTGGCTCAGGGGCCTGGGTAGCTCAGGACGTGGGGGAGGCGGAGAAGTAGGGTGTGAGACTTCTGGGAAGAAGAGAGGAAAGCAGGGAGGACTCAGAGGAGTGGCTGTTCCGGGCTGAGGGATGTCCTCAGGGAGTCATGGTAAGGCATAGCTCCTTGAAGTAGGAGAGAATGGCTAGCAGTGGAAGTCTCCGCTGAGGGAGCCTCCATGGTGGGCTGATCACTCCCTGGTCTGCCTCATCTGGGAAGGAAGAACTTCTACCCTCATCCCCACTCTGACACCTCCTCAGGCCATGAGTACAGGCACCATGGGATTCACCAAGTATATATTTTAGTGAGTGTGCCCAAAAGTTAGGGCTGAGGCATGAAGGAAACAGCTGAAAGCAGATAAACTCCCTGGAAAGATTAAATAAATTCTAGATCTACTCGTCAGTCACTACGTGAGGACTTTGGACAATCTCTCGGCTCATCTCCTCCTTCTGAGAGCACTGTGTCCCAGGCTTGGGACCTCCTCTACCAGACGCTCAGCCCTTCCTTCAGGGCCAGACACAGAAGGGAGTTACGTGACATTGGTCAGGTCAAGCTCAGAAGAGGGAGGGGCAGGACCATGTGCCCCCTCCTCCAGGTCTGGGCAATTAAGAAGCATGGGACAGTGACTCACAACAAAGCTCTCAGCTCACCATAGAGGTGGGAAACCTTCCTGCCAATGAAGGATAGACGAAAGTTCCAAGAAAATGTAACTCAACTGACATGTGACCTGTCTACATGAGAGTGCTTGCTCCCACCCCACTCAAATCAGGGTGCTTCGGTCAGGCTGGGCCACCTTTGCTAACCTTGGGAATGGGGGCAACTGGAACCCTGAAAAGGAGCCATGGAGAGGCAGGTATTGCTGTGCCTGCCCTAGCTCCCTGGAACTATCAGCCCTCATCCAGGAGCCCCAGGGGTCTGACGACAGAGCACACTTAGGTACTGAGTGAGAAAACATACTGCCCAGAAAGGTGGTCTGCTCCTCTCTAGGCCTACACGATGGCAATGGCTGGTTCTTGTTTTGTTTGTTTGTTTTTTGAGACAGGGTTTCTCTGTGTAGCGTTGGAGCCTGTCCTGGAACTGGCTTCGTAGACCAGGCTGGCTTCAAACTCACAGAGCTCTGCCTGCCTCTGCCTCCCAAGTGCTGGGATTAAAGGTGTACACTGCCACTGCCTGGCTGATTCTTATACATTCATTTATCCATTCTTCCCACTCCCAGTTGAGCATAATGTTGACCCATGTGCTCAAAAGAATTTTCTGTCTCTCCAGACTCATCACTTGTAATGATAGTACTGGGAGGGCCACACCACACACAGCTCCTTACCGCCTGCAGCTTCTCTGTCAGCTCACGGCGACGGTTCCGACACTTGGCTGCAGCCAGTTTGTTCCTCTCCCTCCGGATTCGACGCTTCTCCTCTTCTTCAGGAGACAGCTAAAGAGGCCAAAGAGGCCAAGGTCAAGAGTCATGATCGGAATGCTGCAATGGTTCATGACATTTTAAAAAGCTGTATTTTAAGGACTACAAGCTGTCCTTTAGAATTGAGGAGGGAAAGAGATGTGTTGCCAGGCTCAGAGGTCCCCAGGGCATGAGGTCAGTACCTTGTGGTTGCCTGGAGGGAGCTTGTAGACGGCTCTGCTTTGGAATGTGACAAGGTGACGTTGCATGTTTAAGGGGACAGCAGACCAAGAGTGGGAAAGGAGCTCAATGGCTCTGCACCAGGGCAGGATTTGTCTGTCAGCTCTGTTTGAAAGCCTTAGGCAGAGAAGAGCCCTGCCAGCAAGCCAGGTCTGGCCTCACCTGCTGTAGCAGCTTCCTCCAAAGCCTAGCTAATTACCCTCCCATCACGCTCTATGAGCCTCACCACCACCTTTGGTTATGTAGAGTCTCCACATAAGTGAGATCCACCCATGGGGTGGGAGGGGTGCTGATGTATTGTCACCAGTGGGAGGGCCATGGGTACCACTGTATTCCCAACTTCCTCTGCCAACCAGAGTACCAGCTTCTCAGAGGTCTCCACGAGGACTCCTTGGAAGCCTGCCACAGTGCTAGGCTGGGCAAGAGAAAAAGCAGCCTAGGCATAAAAGTCCCACTGTCCAGCCTTTCTGCTTATTTGATTGATGGTGATCATCTATATGAGACATAATCCCAGGAGTTGGGGCTGTGAACTCAAGGACACCACCCACACACACACCCCCAGGAGAGATCAGGAACTAGCTCCTTCTGGTGAACCAGTCAGGGACAAGGAATTCTGTTCACACACACTGCCAAAGAGAACGCCATGGGCCAAAGCACAACACAGGATAAAGGGAAGACCTTCCCGTTCAGACCAGACAGGGGTGCATGCCTACTGTGTGCCTATGCTCTGCTAGGGGCTTCAAAGAGTCTAAGTATGACACCATGGAAAAGCTGAAGTTGCTCCAGAGAGAGAAATATCCCTAACTACAGACCACACCATGAGGAACAAGTCATTTGTGCTAGCTGGGCTGGGCTCAGGTCAGGACCCCAGGAAGCTCCCTCCCACCCTGGCAGTCCATGGCTGTGATGTCCTGAGTGGCCAAAAAAAAGCATCAAATGAGTAAATCCATTCCATCTAGATGACCCCACCGGAGGTCACAGGCCACTCAGCTAAGACCTGCTCCCAAACCTGTCTTGGTCCAAGCCTTACAAAGTTGGTAACCAAGAAAGCCTGTGGGTCTTGTGGCAGTCCTGGGTTGAGGTTTCTTTACAGCCCCTGGACTCCCCTGAAGGCCCAGCAGCACCACCCTCCCCTCCCCTCCCCCACAAGCAGATTTTACTGCTAAGGGAGAAAAAAAAAGCTAAGCTTGGTTCAAAGACAGCCTTCTTTCTACCTTGGTAACTTTTAGCCTTAGAAGTCTCTCCCTGTCTGGGGAGGTGTGGGGCAACTGTGGGTACTGTCGACATAGGAAATGTTCTGGGGTGGTGAGATCAACGTGGTTACAGCTTGAGTGTTGTTAACATCACCAGGGACCCACCCACAAGCCACACATGCCCTCCCCTCCCTTCTCCCCAGTCCCCACCCTGGGCTCAGAGGAGCCTCATGGGCAGGCTCTGGAGGAGGCCATGAGGCACCAAGCTGACTCCTGGGACAAGCCTTGGGGTGGAGAGGGTGGTGGGGAGGGCTGGAAAGAAGCCACAGAGAAAACACTAGGGCCAGGAAGCCAAGAATCAAGAAAGTGGCTGCCACAAAGATAGTGTGAGAGGTTAGTGGTCCCCTGAGCTCCTAATTGTTTGATCGCCCCCCCCCCCAACCCCTCTACCCTGTACCACAAAAGGAAGGATGTCTCCAGATAGCTGGTCTTGAAGCATACCTAGGTGGTATGGCATCAAAAACATCCAACTGAAGGTCAAAAGTGGTGGATCCCAGTCTCTGCTACTAACTTGGTGTGACTCTGGGCAAAGCCCTTCCTTCTAGGCCTCATCTATGAGCTAGGTTCAGGGGAGAAATTCAGAGGTACCCTCCTAAAATCCCTTCTAGGTGTGAACTTCTGAATGTAGTGTCAGGTAGGCCCAGCAGAGAAAGAGTGGGGGGACACATCATGCTGCAATGTCCTGCCAGCCCACAGGAGCTTGGCTGCCACTCAGCATCATTTATATCCTGAAACAATCGCATGGATACAGGCACAATTACAAAGGACAGTGTGGTCACTACTACAATACCTGAGACTATGGGAAGCCCCCAGAGGGGCCAGTAGTTTTCCCCACACATCAACTGCACCTCAGTGTCTAGTACATGTAGCCCCTGAGGGCCTGCACTGTGGCCCCATCTATTGGCCACGAGGTCCTACTTTGTCTTCAGAAGACGGTTCCTGAGAAAGCTTCTAGTTCCTTGGAGTGGGAGCCCTGTAACTCTAAGCCCTTTTGGGACTACTGGCGCTGGGTCCATCACTATGCCATGTTAAAGGCACTGGCATTAGGATATGGTGGACCTCGGACCCTGGAGTAGAAGCAGGTGAGGATTGGAATGAAGGCTCCCACAATTAGCAGGAAGCCTTTACCAGATTCACATTTCATTTGGAAAGGAAAATGTACTGCTCAAGGGTTCCCTTCTCTGGGTTTATAGTGGCATGGCCTTGGGGGAAGGGCACTGTACATGGAGCCCAGGCAAGCAGGTCTTGGCCTTGAGTCTGTAATGGGAGACAGAAGAGATCTTTGGAGGCCTGTGTCAGTTCTCTAGTCAGTTCTCTCTTAAGCTGAGTCTCTTGAGAAGGAAGAACAAGGGAAACCTGATGTGTGACCTCTATCTGCCCCCAGAGCTGAACAGGCTCCTTGGGCCCAGATCACTATACTTCTGGGACATATATTCCAGGAACCAGAAATGGGCTACAGCTTTGATCTAAAGGCCTGAGAAACTGAGGAAGAATGCAAAGTCACATGGGTGCTCACAGCCCTGGTCCTATGGCTCCCCACTAAGGCCCAGGGCAGGGCACTACTGTAGGAGGCCATGACGGTTCGCATTTACTGATACTTTACACTTCCAAGGTGTTCCCCAACTCAAGAACTCCCTCAAGCACCAACTTAACATCCCTGTTCGTGAGCCCCTCCCTCCCCCAGCTACCAACATGGTTCCTCTCCACTTTAGAGGCATACCTGCTCATCTCTCCTCCTGCGGCCCACAGTGGTACCAATGGTCTTGATCACGCCAGGTCTGGGGAGAGCCATGTGCCCAGGGACAGAAGCCAGCCCTGGCAGGGGGCTGTAGGGGTGTGAGCGTGGATAAGGATTGGACATGGAGGTAATCACTGTGGGCTGGACCATCCACTGCAGGTCCTGGCTGGTGGTGATGGCGTTGATGGTGGGGATGAAGGCGCTGCCTGAGCCAGGCATATCTACCCGGAACTTCTGAAACAAGGAGAAAGACATGACACTGAGCCAAGAAACAGCAGAATAGGACAAGCAGAGCCAAAGCCAAGGCCAAAACCTATAGACTTCTGGGTTAAGGTCATGTCCCAGGTGGGCTTCCCTAGGCAAATCCCACATAACCAAAACTCAAGCCAATCTTACCCATCCCTGGCCTATGTCTCAGATCTGTTCTCTTCCTAGAGTCCTGAAGACTCCATTCTCAGGGGCTCTGGGAAGAATAAGCCATATCCCAAGTGAATTCTAAGACACATGTGAGACTGAGCCTCTCACATTCACCATGCAGCCCTCCAGGGCTCATATCTGCAGGACGTTTCACCTTAGCCTCCTGGGGCTCTGAGTCACCTACCAATTATTCCCCAGGGTACTGGCTCAGGACACATTTCTTGGAGATTTACACACCAGTAGATCAAGAGAGATCACTACAAGTATATTGTGTCTGCTTTTGTCACTTTCCAAGGAAGTTCATGATGAGCCTATACACCTATCAGATCAGGGTCAAGTTGAGAAGGCTAAATCTTCGCCTCTGTTTACTAGAGAGTCTATTGTCAGTGGGTGGGATTGAAGCCCTGAGTCAGACTTACAGCCAGAATTCCTCTCACTGTCTTTGACACAGCTCCTTGCTTAGAAAGACGCACTGGGTCTGTCTCTACCATCGACACATCTATCTACCTGGACTCACAGAAGTGTCTGCGGGAAAGCTTCAGTGCTGCCAGCTCAGAGGTTTCCCTTTACCTCTTAATTTATAGGTCAGGACCATGTTGCAGAGCTCTGTGAGCTGCAGGACAGTCTATTTGAAATCCAACAAGATAAAACATCACAGCACAATAGATCAGGCCCCTCAGCTACTGTGTTACTAGAGCTGTTAGGGTCAGAGCCTGGGCCCCATAGCCCTAACTAGCTAGGCTCTGCACCCATCCCCAGCAGGCCAATTAACAGTAACAGGGGAAAATAGAAAAGAGAGATTTATTCAACATGACCATATTAAGAAAAGGGACACAGAGGTTCATTGACTCCCCAAGCCTATCTGCAGAGTCAGGACACAAGGCTGAGATTTAAACGGAGGGCAGGAGGCACATATAGCTAAGTAGCATCAGTCATCATCTTCAGTGTGTCCTGCAAGGTGCTCTGACAGGTTTTCATACTGAATAAAGACCCTTCCTGGGAGTCAACAGCCCTCTCCTCCTCTCAGTATGAGATTTCTGGGACAAATACAGTTTTGGGGGACCATTGTTTTAATGGTCTGATAGCCAAAGGCAGGGGCACGTGTGTCTCTCTAGAATATCTTCCCTCCTGCCAGGATGGCTCAGCTGGTTTGACCCTTCTCTAGGACAGCTCCTGGAAAGTAAGAGAGGCAAAAAGGGGAGCCCCTCCCATTTTCAGCATTTCAGGAGAAGGCTCTCAATGGACCAGTCAAAACCTCATCCTCAGATGATCTGGGTCCACAAGAACATCTCGAAACTTTGCCCCCGATCTCATGGGTAAAATGACGACAGTTGTTAATAGCTAGCACTTTCAGAATGCCCAACACCATGTTAATGTCTTGCCTAGATTACCCAGTTAATTCTCTCTCCAAGGTAAGTTCCACATAATCTTCATTTCAGAGTCAGAAACAGTCTGAGAGACTCCAAGCCACTTATGCAAGGCTATATTGTTGCTTAAGCAGTAGGGTCAGAGTTCAAATCCAGCTCAGCATGACCAAGATTTGCTGAACTGTATTGGTTGTTGAGGAGCCTCTCAACATGGTATCACACAGATTTATCCAGCATTCTTTCTTTCTCAAAACCCAGCCCTAAGTGCTGGAGTCCACCCTTTGCCACGGGTCCCTTCATCACCCCCAATACCACTAAGAAGGTCCTATAGATTGGTTCCATCTAAAAGGAAACCCTGCTATCATTTGGCCAGGCACTATAGTAGCTCCCGACTGGTCTAGTCAGAGCAACTGAGACTAGAAGAATCAGGATGTGGCCACTTCTGCAGTCTTTACCCAAGCTGATAACATCACAGGTATGAAAATAAAGTGAAGCTTACAGACCTCTCCCACCGTACCTGGCCAAACTGACAGCCCCTTCCTCACTTGCCATTCTGTCACCCACCTGACTCCAGGCCCTGTGGCCGAACATGACTGCCTCACTTCCCAGATTGCCCCAGTGCATGAAAGCTGCCCAGTGCAGTGCATTCTGGGATTTTATCAGGGAGGTTGCTCAGGATAGTGGCTTCTGGTAAGTCTAGCCAGTTTCACAGTTATACAACTGAAGGTAAGTAGGGTTGGTTTTGGTTTTGAACCAAAAGTTGACTGAAGAGAAACAAGTATGCCAGGCTTGGTGGTTCAAGATTATAAATCTCAGCTATTCAAGAAGGTTAAAGCAGAAGTATTTAAAAAATTCCAAGGTCAGCCAGGCAGTGGTACATACCTGTAACCCCTGCACTCAGCAGGCAGAGGCAGGCAATCTCAGAGTTCGAGGCCAACCTGGTCTACAGAATGAGTTCCAGGATGATTAGGTCTACACAGAGAAACCTTGTCTTGAAAAACCACCTCCTCTCAAAATAAATAAAATGCAAGGCAAACCTAAGCTACAAAATGAGTTCAAGGCCAGCCTGAGCAACTTAGTGAGACCCTATCTCAAAATAGAAAAAGGACTAGAGCACTTTGCTAGCATGCACAAGGCCCCAGGTTCTGTGTGTAAAGCAGGTTAGAATTTCCTGAGGTGGAAAAAGGGTGTGACAGGAGCTGGACTATGAGAAGGCAGAACTGTGTCGTGAACAGTGGATATGGCTAAGTATGTTCAGGAACACTGAGGTCCAGGTAGTGAATGTTTCTCCAGGGCTACTGGGGGAGGCATGGTGACTTTGCCTGGAGTCAGGAGGTCCAGGTTTGAGGTCTGGCTTCAACAGCTCTACTCTGAGGCCATCACTGAGGACTAAATTCTGGGACAAAAGAGAACACATTGGGCCGGGCAGTGGTGGCGCATGCCTTTAATCCCAGAACCCAGGAGGCAGGAGCAGGTGGGCCTCTGTGAGTTCAAGGCCAGCCTGGTCTACAAAGGCAGCTCCAGGACAGCCAAAGCTACACAGAGAAACCCTGTCTCAAAAAAACAAACAAAAAAGAGAGAACATATTGATTCTGAACTTCCTGCATTGTTACAGGGATTAAAGCCACAGCTACTGTAATCACAGGTTGTGAAGCACACTCAACCCTGGCTAAGAATATTCTAAGGAGCTTGTAAAAATTACCAACGTCGGGCATCATCATTAGAGTCTAAAATAATCGGTTAGGGGTGGAGTTCTATTACAGGTACTTTTTCAAACTCCAAGGAGATTCTACTATAGTAAGCAACCAGGGCAGAAAAAACATTGCCCCAAACAAATGGAAAGCACTACAAATCCTCACCATCTCCACTGCCGCCGCCACCGTCACCATCAGCATCACGTCACCCTCATAATGTAGGTCTGTGTACACTGCACAGGCTAGCTCTTGGGAGAATTGCCAGCTTCCTACCTCTGGAAGCACCCAAATTTGTATTCCACACCTCTCCCCCAAGACAGAGCCTCAGACCAAAGCACCCAGTGTGATGGCCTAATTCGACCACATCTCCTGTCAGTTCTCTTTTCAGGAAATTATCTAAGAAATACATTCAGTCCAAAGAATAACAGTGTGCCTGTTTTAGGGAAGAAAGCAGAAAACCCAAAGCCAGCTGGGAGACTAAGATTCCTCAGGGATGGGCAGGTGCCGCCCAACCCCTCTCAGGCCCTCTAGTCCACACACTGCTTACCGGCAGACACCAGCCAGATTCCTTGCAGTGATGGCTTGGTCTAGACAAAACAAGGCAGCAATAAAAACAAGGCTGGAGGTAATGATGGCCTCTGATTCACATGTACACCTTGTTTCAGACAGAGGTAAAGCCTTACGGATAACACGCTGGCTCCAAACTGCAAGGAAAACAATGTCCTGTCCCCAGAGGGGACTGAGGCCCGATAAAGAAGGCTTTTGTCTCCAAAGGAGCCTCTTGGAGAGATGCACAAAAGTTTCAATTAGATCTGGCAGATGTTTTTGTCTCAACTCCAAACATGTTATTCAGAAAGTGACACTGGGCTAAGAGAGAAGTCTGTGGTCTCAGAAGTCAGCCCGATATTCTCCGACATGCTAACAGACCACAAATGACCCAAATGTCCTGTAAATGGGGCATGGAGTCATGGTTCCCAGTGAAAGAGTTCACATTGAAGAGAAAGAAGCCAAGACAGCCTTCCAGCCACAGGAATCAGGGCAATGCTGTGACAGTGCCCAGGTACAGGCTGGCAGTGACAGGATGGATGGAGGAGGTAACCCAGGGACCAAGTTCTCTCGGGTCTCTAGGAGCTCCTGGAAAACTCTTTCACTGGGGACAGGAATGAAGACACTGGGCTATATGACATTCCAGCCTGGAAGAGTGTCCAAGTACTTTAAAAAAAAATGTGCCTCCCTATCAATGTGTGGATGAATGCCCATAAAAGGATGAACAGCCCCCATAGAACTCCTAGCACCAAATCTGACAAGATCTGCTCTAGTAGTCAGACAACAACCATTTGAGAGCTTTGGGAACCATCTGTGTTACAGCTCTACTCCACCACTGAGGCAGGGGAGCATCCATAGAGAATATGTGAGCAAGCCAGCATTCCTGGGTTCCATTAAATGTCACTTCTAGACACTTTGGTCTCCTAGGCTCAGGTTGGAGGGAAACAAAAGAGAAGAAAGAAGCAAGCAACAAACAACCAAAAAGAGAGAGAGATGCCCCTCTGAGCCAGGAAGCCAAGGGGATGTATCTCACTCCTTGGCTTGGATCTCCAGATCCTTAGCAAAAGTCCAAACCCTTCCAAGCTTTGTTGTAAGTCTTTGGGCACTGGGAACTTCAATGTCACCAGAAGTACTCTGTGCTTGGGGTGTAATGGGGTGCTCAGTGAGTATTGTGCAGTCACTCAAAGATAACTCAACAGACCCAACTCCC